AATTATATAATATTAAAATCAAGAAATTGACATTTGTACTGATTCTCAGGATATATTTAGTTGCCATCAGTTTTGCATGCACTCTGGTGGCATTGTGCCTAAGCCATTTGACTGCTAACCAGAAGGCTGGAGTTTCAAACCCACCTGCCGCTACTCGGAAGGAAATCTGAACAATCTACTTCTGTAGTGATACCTCCTGGGAAACTCATGGAGGGGTTGCTATGAGTCAGATTAGACTGGACTGCAGTGAATTTTTTTTTTTAAATGTATGGTGTGTGTAAGTGTATTTGTATGTGCTTATTTATGTATATGTGTATGATACTGTTAAATGCCTTTGAGCTGAATCTCAATTTATAGTGACTCCATGTATATGGATTGGACCATTGTAATCCATGCAGATTTTTTCTTCTTTCTGGCAGATTTTTCTAAGTGGATCACTCAGGCCTTTTCTTTCTTGTGTATTTTAGTCTGATCAGCACTATAGCAACATGCAAGCCTCCATCGCAGTTGAGTGGTGACTGCATTTGAGGTGCTTATGCCAGGAATTGAATGAAAATCACATCATGGAAGGTGAGAATTCTACCACTGAACGGTCACTGCACTCTATGGGTGTATAGTCTTCTGAAAATAGGTTATATGTGTAAATTGTTATAGTACCACCATAATTAGGCACACAGGTATTGGATCATCATGTCTACTCTTCATTCTCCCCATCCCTAAAATCTGGCAATGATTAATATATTCTCCATCTCAATAATGTGATTACATCAGAAAAAGTATACAAATAAAATGGTAGACATTAGAGATTGGCCTTTTATTATTTATCTATTTATTGAAATCACAGCAATTTTTGAGATACCTCCGACTTGGGTCTATTTTACTTTGCCTAGTAGTATTCTATCATATAAATGTACCACACACAGTGTTTGTGAATAGTGTTTTGATTGCCCAACTTTTCACTGAAGTGGCAACACATGAAAAATTTTTATTTTATGCAGGTCTGTCTCCACACTCATATTTTCATTTCCTCAGCTGTAGACTTCTTCCACATGTTTTGTGGTTATTGTGTTGTTTTAGAAATAATAGTTTGTAGTAATTTAAGGCATCTTGTTCCCAGGTGCCACTTGGGCCGACAAGACCTTTATCCAAGTCCAGTTGCCCAGCCCCCTGACATCTTCTGTATCAGAAGGAACTCATCTGGGATCAGATGTCCAGTCTTCAATTGCTTTCTGGGTAGGCAGGGAGTAGTACCAGGATCAGCTGTCTAGCTCCCTGCCATCCAGGCCAGGTGCTCTGATAATCTAGTTTTTTTTTTTTTTTCTTTCTCCTTTATTTCTCTCTTTTTATTTTTCTTCTGTTTCCCATACCTGGATCTTGTCTTATTTTCTTTTCTTGGTCCCCTTCTTTTTTATTTTTCTCTATGTTTTTTTCCATCCTTTGGTTTTTCTTTTTGAATTTTTCTTTACTGTTCTTTTTCTCTTGCTCTCTTTTCTTCCCCAGCAGATACTGTTTTGTCTTTTTCTCCTTGCTAATATTTTGTTTCTTTTTCTCTGTTTTATTTTTCTTCTCATTTACTGTTTTTGCTTTTTGTGTTTATGGTATTGTTATGCTTTTCTTTTTTTCCCCTAATTGTTTGTATTTTTTGGTATTTTTATTTGTTTATTTTGTGTCCCACCTGAAGGGATGCAGCCAATGTGCCCACATAACCTAACCAATTCCCTAACTTCTGTGTTCCCAACAAGTGGGAAAGGAAACTACCACCTACTTCTGCACCAACTGATCAACAATAGATGACAGGCAATACCAGCCCAACCCACCCTCAACTGCTCTATGCATACAGCTACCAGAGATCTATCTACACATTCTCGTCCTCTGTCACACCCATCAGGAGCCACATTCTCATCCTCTATCACACCAAACACTTGGGGAAGAACAGGCACTAATCCTAATCCTTAGGTGAGTGCCTAAGCTCTGCCCAACTAGTGACCAGAGTAGCACATCAGCATGGCATGCTTGGACATATCAAAACAAGATAAATAAACAAATAAAACTTGTCAAATCATGCCAACATACAATCACCAACTAAACATAAATATAATAACATGACACTGTCTTATAGACAATCCCAGTTTACACAAATAAGCAAGATAAAGTAATACAAACAAGGAACCAGAATACAAAGCCAGAAAACCTGAAAAAGAAATTGCATTCCAATTTCCTAATAAGGAATTCAAAAGAATTATATTTAAGTACCTTCAATGACTTGTCATGGAAGAAAGATGAGGCAGACTGCTTCTATAAAGATTTACAGCCTTGGAATTACAATGGGGGTCACTATGAGTAGGAATCAACTCATTGACAGTGAATTTGGCTTTAATTTCAATGTTTTGGGAGAAAGATCAAGGAAAATACTGACAAATTTAAGGAAAACAAAGACAAATCTAGAACAATTTAGGAAAACAATACAGGGACAAACAGATAAAATAAAAATTAGAAACTATACAGAAACAGCAAATAGAAATCCAAACGATTAATACTAAGATTTCAAAAATAGATCACACATTGAAAGGGCAAAGGAGTAAAATTGAAGAAATGGAAGACAGAATTAGAGCAATTGAAGAGAAATCTCTCAATACTACTTTGTTAAGGGAACAATTAGAAAAATACATTTTATAAAAGGAAATAAAGCCTAAAGTTAATGTGGGAAAACATCAAATTTAAGAAAGGAAATGAAGGAAAAGATGCAAATAATATGCATAAGAAGTGAAATGGACACGATCTCAAAAGAACCAATTGAAATAAGAAAGATATCAGGATACCATGAAGAATTGTTCTCCAATGAATTTGAAAATCAAGAAGAAACAGAGGGATTCTAGATGCACGCAACTTACCTAAAGTAACAGAGACTGAGGTAGAAAACTTGAACAGATCCATAAGAAAAGAAGAAATTCAAAGGGCCAGAAAGAAAACAACTAAAAAGGAAATCTTGACACAGATGGTTTCCCTGGAGATTTCTACCAAACACTTGGGGAAGAACAGACACTAATCCTAATCAAACTATTCCAAATAATAAGATGGTATCCTCCCAAAATCATTTTATGAAATGAGCTTAAACCTGATGCCAAAGCAGGCAAAAAAAACACAACTAGAAAGGAAAACTACTGTCCAATATACTTCATGAATATAGTTGCAAAAATCTAATCCTAGGATATAGATTCTAAGAACATATTTTAAAAAATAATAATAAAGCATTATGACCAAGGAGATTCATACTATATATATAATGATGGTTCAACATTGGAAAACATATCAATATAATCCATCACACAAGTAAAATAAAGGAAAATAACCACATGATCCTATCAATTGATGCAAAAATATCCAATCTATTACTGATATATAAAAAAAACAAAACTCTCAGAAAAATAGTAGTAGAAGGGAAATTCCTCAACATAACAAAAGGCATATGTGAAAAACGAATAGCCAACATCATTCTCAAGTGAGAGAGGCTGAAACCATTCCCCTTGTGAACAGGAAGCAGGCAATGATGTCCTCTATGACTGCTTCCATTCAACATTGTATTGGAAGTCCTACCAAGGGGAGTAAGGCAAGAAAGGGAAATCAAAGGCATCCAAATTGGTACATGTGGTGGTTATGTTTTTGTATCAATTTGGCTGGGCCTGGTTGAGTGGCTTGGCAGCTGGTGGTAGTTATTCCCTTGATGAAACTGGCAATCAACTCCATGGTGGGATCTACCACAAGCAGCTGAGTAGCTGCTTTGGATATGTGGTCTGCTTCACATATATAAGAAGCAGTTGGTAATGATCTCTAGCCTATGGCACGCTTGGACCCTGCATGCAGCCATGTCATTGTTCAGCAGTCTGTATGCTCTAGTTTTGTTGTCAGGGTGATGTAGGCTGAGTTTTGCCTGGTCCAATAGTGCCTTGGATTAATTGTTTCCATGTGTATTTGGTTTTCTTCATTCTTTGCTCCAGATGAGGAGAGAATAATTGTTGAATCTTAGGTGGCCTCTTGCAAGTATTTAAGACCCTAGTTGCTAATCACCAAATTATGAAGTAAAACAACGTTTTTGTGTATATGTATTGTCAATTGATCTTCATGTCCCCTGGGACATGGTCCTGAGCCCATGGGCTCAAAAACTCACTCCTTCAGGGTGGTTGGCTGTGGCTAAAAAGTTATCATAACTTTGCCCCTGTTATCTCTATTATATATGTTAACTGGATATGTATGATTCTTTGTTATTACTTACCAGTTATCATTGGAAATTATCACACATCAAGACAAGAAAGGCTTCATGAGAATTTGTTAATAAATTCAGGTTTTAGTTAATGTGTATTAACATTATGTCATATATATACATATATACAACTATTTTTCATGGGAATCTTTTGTCTATAAAGATGTGGACATGTCAAATATATCCCTGTATGTGTAAATACCTACACTTACATATAACTATAAAATTACTATTGTAATATCATGTATTGCATAGAAATGAACATAATAAAATATACAAAATTTTAAAATATGCAACATATTGAAAATAAGAGCTAGATGACAAATTTAGAGTTAGAAAAGGAATTTTCCAGTTCTTAGGCATGTATCAATATTAACATTTCTTATTTTTTTAAAATATATTTTGATATAATTAATGAAAATATGGGCACATTTTTACAAGTATGTGCAAATTTATTATTAATTTTGATCAGAATATAATTGAAAATTGGACAGGACATGTTCCACAGTAAACTCACAATTATTAAAACTATGATACATTTGTTTAAGCAAATAATTGATTAAATGCTTGAATGTGATTTTCTTATTTAAATATTAGGCCAATTATTTATGTTCAATTAATTATTTTCCTTTTTGATCAAAAGAATAACATTTTTATAATTCTCATGTTTATTCTGTTTTTCAGGTAACAATGCATAAAATTAAAATTCTTTCATATTGTCTTGTTTTTTAAACCTTTTCTTTTAAATAAAAAAAATTCTGCTTGAAAACTCAAAATATCTGTTGAATATTCTGCCTAGAGCAATGTTGATCTCTCTGTTCCGTAGACTAAAGATTATGGGGTTTATGAATGGAGGTATCATAGAGTAGAACATGGCTATGAGAAGACTTTTAAGAGATGATTTATTTGAGATGGGGCCTACAGAAGAAGTTATTGCAGAAATAAGAAACAAAAGCAGTATTGCCAGCTGTGGGGTACAGGTGGATAAGGCTTTGTTACGGGCTTCTACAGAATGCATCCTAAGCACTGTTGAGAATATATTAACATATGATGTCAACAAAATGAGAAAACATATTATGACTATGATAGAACTTCCAATAATGAGAACAGACTCATAAAACCTCACATCTGAAGATGAAATACTCAAAATTTGAGGAATATCACAGAAAAACTGGTGAATCTCATTGGAACCTGTGAAGGGAAAAATGAACATGGTGCCTGTGTGGATAGAAGAATAGATCATCCCACTGGCCCAGGACCCCCCTGCTGCCTGTGCACACATATGTGGGGTGACAATGAGCCCATAGTGCAGGGGGTGACAGATGGCAACATAACGATCATAGGACATCACAATAAGGAAGGCCAACTCCGTGAATCCAAAGAGGATAAGTAGGAAAATCTGAGCAGCACAGGCTGGGAGAGAAATCAACTTCATTCCTGTTAAGGAATTCACTATAGATTTTGGAACAGTAACTGAGATATAGCAAAAATCTATGAGGGATAAATTGGCTATAAAGAAATACATTGGGAAGTGAAGATGTGGGTCTGTCACTATGACGGTAATGGTCAGAAGATTTCCAGTAACAGCTCCCAGATAAATCAGTAAGAATAGCAGACCTTGTAACACTTGAAGCTCCCGAGAGCTTGAGAAATCCAATAGGAGGAATTCTGTGACTACAGTGAGGTTGCCCATGACTTTTAAACTACTGCCTTCTTCCTGAAGTCAAAGAATAAAAGAAAAGAATTAGGAATCAAGTGGAGGGAGAACCAAAACTACCCAAATATATGTTGTAAATTAGTAACCTACAGAAATAGAATTATTTGAAGAAAGACTATGTCAGTACTTACTGTATTGCAGCTGAAATGAGGACCTCTAGATAAGATGAATGTTTAGCTCACTTTCCAGAATCTGCTGATAGTCTTTGTGTGTGGGGGGTGTATGTGTGTGTGTGTGTTAATTTTGTCATTTTTATGCTGCAGCAATAGTAAGTAATCTGATATAATATTCTTGCTTCTTTCCTCTTCTATGCTTTTCCTGGAGAATGCCTTTTAGTCTGTGCCCAAGCACTTGCAGTAAGGACAACGACAAATACAAACAAACTTCTTAAATATGATCTGTACCACATTTCTTTCTTCCACTATGAATGACATACACCACTCAACTGTGTGACTCCAGAAAAACTTTGAATAACAAAGAATGTCTCTGCACTTGCGGAAGTGTTTTTATACACAAATCAGCATGACAGATGAAATTTTACAACATTCCTGATTATTTGTGCTTGACGCTGAGGGTGTATTCTTTTCTTTTCCCTGGCATAATATATCAATTATATGAAATGGATTCTTCCTTACCTATTTATAATATATTAGCTTAACTATTTACAATACTTTAGACATTATAAAAATTTTTGAACAATGAAAATAAATTAGTTATTATACCACAAAAGACATGGAGGAACTTTCAGTGTTTTATTGGAATATGAAAGAAGTCAGTCTAACAAAAATGACATGCATGCATGTCTTCAACTATAGGACATTATTACAAAGCAATAATTATATACAAATTTAAAAGAACTGTGGTTGACAGGGATGCAAGGGAAAGGGGAAAATAATGATTAGGTAGAATACAGGGCCATTTAAGTATAGTGAAACTATCCTGCAGGATGATGCAATACTGGATACATGACATGCATTTGTCAAAAAAACTCATAATAACTGCACAAGACAAATTGTTTACCCTAATGTAAACTATGTACTTTATCTAATAGCAATTTATCAATGTTGCTTTATTAATTATAAGAGATGTACTACACTAATGTGATTGCTAATAATAGGAGAAACTATATAGGATGGAATGGGATATATGGGACTTCTGTATTTTCTGCACAATATATCTGTAAATCCTGCTATTACAAGTCATCGAGTATGTTATGATTCATGATGATCCAAAAACTGCTGTAAAAAGTCAAAACTCAAAAAAACAAAGTGGTGTATTAAAAATAAATGGCTAAACTATTTTGTAGAGAAATATTTAAGTAAATAGTCAAAATGATTACTCAACTCCAAAACATAAATGTGTTTTCATGAGTCAAGATCTTTTGTTTCCAATCACATAATGAATATGCTATCAGTGACCAATAACTTATAGAATGCACTTCTGAATTCATCCATTCTCTTATATCTTCTTCCTTTCAGATGAACAACTTCATATATGCTACTGACTAATTTTTTTAGTCTGATTCCAAATCTCAATCCAAGCTGTTTGGAATTACTCTCCAGTCTATAATAATCACGAGAGTCCCAACTTAACACTAAAATAAACATTTTCCTTGGTTCAGCATCAAATGTGATAAATGCATAGTTGCTAGTATTCATCATGTTGAGGGTTTTTCCTTTTGCCCCTGAATTATTCCGTGATTTAGACAAATTTCTTACCTCATAATTTCTCAAATCAGGGCAATAAAATGAGGGAAAATAATGATTTTCTATTAATTGATCAAGCAAGATAAGGTATTAAAATTAATATCAGAGCACAGTAGATCAGTGCAAATACACAATATATGTGAGAAATGTTTGATAATGGTAGTCAGTGTATTACATCTTAAATCATGTTGAGGGTTTTTCCTTTTGCCCCTGAATTATTCCGTGATTTAGACAAATTTCTTACCTCATAATTTCTCAAATCAGGGCAATAAAATGA